AACCCGAGCATATTACAAAAATGTCGGTAGGCATCTGTCGCCAGGTGGAAGACAGACGGTCATAACCTGGAAGTTGATATGACTACCTTAGCCAAGTAAATCTAAGCTACAATCACCAGCCGAGAAAACTGTATGTTGCAGAGCTCCTAGCTGGCGCGAATTCCACAAAACCGATGTCCTCAATGTTTCGAATCGCAGGGACAGCACCCAGCTATTCGGAACCACTCTATTGATAACAATGACATACTGATACGAAACGGTTAAAGAAAAACAAAAGAGCTGTGACTGGGATAACAATGGAGCGAAAAACGTTTGCAGTGTATCTTTATGATTAACAAAGTTAAGCTTTTCATCAGACAAAGAGTGTGTAGCATATTACTGGGGTCACAAAAGAAAGTGTAATCGGATGGAAGGGTATATTCCTCACTAAGCTGACAATTGTTAGACTCGCGCATCAGTGCGCGAAATTAAGTGACCATTCGGGCGATCTTTGAAGAGGTGGAGCACATACATCCAATAGGCGGTAGATACTAACTAGAAGCAAGCAGCTCAGGTCCGACCAGCTAGGCACTGCTGCGCCGTGTGTGGAACATTTCTAACATCGAATTCCCTACTGACTGTCCAGGAAGTCTCGGTGATATGCTAATTAAACTCTTTACCTTTACTTCTATATAATACGACGGCTATTATTACGAAAGAACCTGCAAGTAATCACTGACAGAAAACAAATTACAAAAGCAGGGAGAAGGGAAAAACCTGGCGCATCCCATGCAACTTTTTGGAACCAAAAAGAAGAAAGAAACGGACGCCAGGAACGATGGCAGATTAACCCAGGTAGCAACAAAATTGCTTCTACAAAAATGCGGAACAATGAATGGACACCTCATCAAAGTATAATTGTAAAAAGTGAGAAAAGAGACGAACACTGAAGGTATTGAGGTGATCCTGGCGATAGACGCTGCCCTGCAGCTCCCTCTTCTTGCTTTCCTCGTGTATGGCAGACACTTCGCTAATAACCATGTCCGTTCCAACGCCACTGTCCCGACGATCGCGCGTCCCGCCATTCTCTTCAGCGTACGAATCATCGTTCGTCTGTCTTAGGCTATTTCCGTCATCTGCAATTTGAACGATATCTGCTGCAATCGAAAATGGCAACAGTTTGTGAAACACTAAAAAACAGTGCTTTTTCAAGTACTAACCTTTGTTTGTACCGCCTGCTGTAGTTGTATCAAAAAATGGACTTGGAGTGGAGGGCGGCTCCAAAATATCCCTGTATCGGGAGACCATCAGCACTGAGAGCAGATAAGTCACTGCGAGTGCTAGAAACTGTGCTTGTCGATTTTCTTCCTAAATTTTTCACATTGTTCAATCTCCAGCAAAGAAAAAAAAGAAGTGATTATGTAAAAATTCCTCACTCGAACAGAAGAATTCGAAAAGATTATGAATAAACCTAACCATGTCACGATAAATAACTCCTTTCAGACGTTGCAAATCAATTTCCTGGAGCAAATGCTCCTTGTCAGTGATTCCTTCTTTACCTTTCTGCAAACAATTGTTATTAACTGTTAAAATCAGCATGAAGATATGCATGTTACTGGATGATCAAATTTCCTCCTTCTCCCTGTAGGAGCCCAGCTTGCCTAAGTTCAACCCCTGCCATAATTTCTACAGATGAGAGACCTTTTATGTGCGGACTGACATGATGAGTAACTATGCTCATATGCAGCGAATTGAATGTGATACGTCTATCATTTCTTCCCAGAAAAACTATAAAAGAAAGCGAAGTAATAGACATAACGATCAGCTATTCACTAAGTACCAAATAATGCAGCTGGCGGTTTCAACAATCACTAAGAGTTTCCAATTACACTGACAACACGAAGACAGAAAGGCAGAAGAACAAAATAATAGCGTAATTGTGCATGCAGAGCAGAAAAAAAAACCACTAACAACATCCAGCACACCGGCAACGAAATCCGCGATTTGTTGTGCGCGTAATGTGTGCTTGGCATCACGGAGTGGAAAACTGGAACGACAGGCCAGAATGTTTCGTACAGCCATTGTCGACACTAAAATGTTTTGATAAATAAAAGAAAAATTATAATTATAAAATTACTCTTCATGCTTCCATAACAACAGAATATGTAGCTGGTGAATGAAACGAGGCGAAAAAGAGGCTAATGCGAAAAAGGAGGCCATTCAAGCAATTCTTTTCTTTCTCGTAGAAATGCATTCATGGACCTACCAGAATCAATTAAATGAAGCCTAAAAGTAATAAATAGAAAGGTCTATTAACAAGGGATAAAATAAGTAGAAGAATCAAAAAGGAAATGCGAATTAGAAAATTTGTAAAATGATTATAATCGTAAGAAATGTTTCGTCCCATTAAGTCATATATATTTCCTGCCATTACCACAATTTGATCTCGTCAGTACGACGATTGTGGCGATTGAAATTAGTAGGAATTAAAGTTAAAAGATGTCTTTGAAGTCTTTTGACTAACAACACTCAAGCACCCAAATTTACTTCTACAGTTTGAGAATTCAACATATTATCACAAAAATGACCCACAATCAAGTGAAGATTTCTGTCGTTATATAAGACAGCTCAGGAAGACTTAGGAGATTTCAACGCTCTAGCAATGTTGAGACTGTCACTCTATTTACTTGTAAATGTGGGGATTTCGGAATACGCAAAGTGGTCTTGCGAAGTGCGGGGCAACTTACCGAGTCGTAATGTCTGT